CTCAACATAGTAAATAAAAAACTTACTTGATTGGCGGCTTGGCGGGAAGACTTCAACCGCCGCCATGTGATTGTCAACAACAAGCGCAAGGAAAAGAAGGAAGGTCCTCCCCTACTTGCTCTCTTGGCTGAATACGGTATACGATGGAATATTGAACTCAATCAATGGGAACATATGTATGCTGCAAGAGATCTAAGTTCTTTTGCATAATCATTCCTAATGATTATACACTGATGATCCCTCCCCTACTCTTTTCAACATCTCAGATTATCAATGAGTTGATGAAGGAGGATCTGGCCAAGGTCCATGCCAAAAAGTGTCGTTCACAAAAAACTAAACTTGGATATTTTCGAGAACTTGTCTTTTTGGTTGGCGACTGGGAATCACTTCAAGAAGTTATACAAGAGTTGATTGTGAGTTCATCAATACTTGAACTGTTTTATTATTAGATGGCTGATAAGATTTCACTCCGGAACAGCCTTTGCAATTTTTGTGTTGCAGGATGGAGGGTGATGGTCCTACTGGTTGTATGGTCTTGCACGAATATTGTGAGCTCAAGAATTTGCTTAAATCTCAACCCAATGGTCTCATGGACGACAATCCCATGTATCCAATGATACATGAGATGCTGCAGAGAACCAAGAAATACTTGAACAAAGCCGCAAGTTGTGACTCCTTAGTCCTGGCTACAATCTTTCACCCTAGCTTCCGGCTCGGTTTCCTTTCTTTAAGCTTTGAAGATCATTTGGGCATGAACGACCACGCCGATGAATTGCTACAAACCCGATACAAGGAACATCAAGAGGAAATATCTCGCAAGCCCATTCCATCTAGTTCAAGTGATGATGATGATATTATCATTGTCTCAAATCCTTCAGTCAAAAAGAAGCTACCAAAGGTCTTTGAGCTCTACAAATGTGCTAATACCTCAAGTGATCTTGGCAAGTTAGATCACTACCTCCAAGGGTTAGATCCTTTGAGCTATGATGATCCTTCACAGCTCT